AAGAAAAAGAGAGAGAGAGGAAGGAAGGAGGGAGGGAGGGAGGGAGGGAGGGAGGGAGGAAGGAAGGGGCACCAACTCTCAGGAACCCAGGAAATGGCGTCTCCCAACCTGGCGCCAACCCCGCAGCAGCCCGGCCACGCTTCCCCCAGTCACGGCTCTGCCTCTGCGCTGAGCTTCTTTTTCTCCCTTCCCCTCCCTGCCCGCCCTTCTTGCTTCTGCGCACCTCCCTGTCTTCTGTCCCCAGCCTTGGAGCTGGTGAAGGAAGCCATCGACAAGGCCGGCTACACGGAGAAGATCGTCATCGGCATGGATGTGGCCGCCTCGGAGTTCCACCGCGACGGCAAATATGACCTGGACTTCAAGTCTCCTGCTGACCCCTCCCGATACATCAGCGGGGACCAGCTGGGGGCTCTCTACCAGGACTTTGTCAGGGACTATCCTGGTGAGAGCACGGGGTGCAGAGGAGAGGGCGGGGGGACAGGAGGGCAGGCGGGGGTATGTTGGGGCAACCGGAGACCTCGCGGAGTGCTGCCAGGTGCCGGGTGGAGAGGAAGAGCCTGAGAGCCAGGGAGAGGGCCAAGGAGCCACCTGTGAAGCCTGGGTTTTGTGTGTGGTGTGATGTGCAGGTGCCTGTGCTGATCCGTCCCATCCGCTCTGAATCTTGATGAAAGGCCTGGGTCCTGGGACGGGCTCTGGAAGGAACCGGGGTTGTGAGGGTGCTGGACCTGGCAGGGAACGAGCAGATTTCATTGTCTTTGACTGATGACGGAATTGTGGGTGCTGAGTCGAGCGGGGACTGATGTTCGAGTGGAAAAGAGGGCAGAGGAGGAATGGATGCCCTGGACACATCTCAGGGCTTTCACCCCAGGACTCTGCCTTCCTGAGAGGGAACGAGAGAAAACAGATGCAAATTGCAGAGTGAAGGATTTGGATTCCTGATGAAGGGCTTCCTGGCAGTGAGAACAGGAAAGGCAGAGCTGGGTCATGAGGAAGGTTCTGAACCCCCGTTTGGGGGAAGTTTTGGGAAATAAGAATCAGGAGAAGAACCTGCGAGGGCAGGCCTCATGGCGAGGAACCTGTCCGTTTCAGGGAGTCCCCGTGGGTGGGGTTCCTCCCCGATGCGGAGACCCGGGAGAGTCAGGGCCCCTCACTGCTCCCTCTGCAGTGGTTTCCATCGAGGACCCATTTGACCAGGATGATTGGGCTGCCTGGTCCAAGTTCACAGCCAACGTAGGGATCCAGATTGTGGGTGATGACCTGACGGTGACCAACCCAAAGCGCATCGAGCGGGCGGTGGAGGAAAAGGCCTGCAACTGCCTGCTGCTCAAGGTCAACCAGATTGGCTCGGTCACTGAAGCCATCCAAGCGTGAGTGGCTCCCGTCCAGCCCTTGCTTCTCCGGGCCCCTCCTGCAAGCGCTTCGGCCTAGGCCTGCCAGGGAGCTGGCGCCAGCAGGGAGCCCGGGGTCGTCCGCACGGTCCCCTCAGCTCTGCTCCCTCTGCCTGCGTCTCTGCTCCCCTCCGGATATTTCTCCATGCAGACCCAGGCTGGGCTGGGAAGAGCAACCGGCGGGGGGGGCGGGGGGCTGGGGGCCTCAGTGTGGTGTGTGGATGCAGGTGCAAGCTGGCCCAGGAGAACGGCTGGGGCGTCATGGTGAGTCATCGCTCAGGAGAGACCGAGGACACGTTCATTGCTGACCTGGTGGTGGGGCTTTGCACGGGCCAGGTGAGCGGAGGGCGTCTTGTGGGGTTGTGGGCTCGAGCTCAGGAGGGTCTCTCCTTCCCGGTATTGGAGGGTGTCAGGGAGCTCGAAGCGAGAAGCTTCCTTTGGGAGGTGAAGGGGCAGCCACTGAGCTGCGTATTTTTCGGGATGTTTCAGATCAAGACGGGTGCCCCATGCCGTTCTGAGCGTCTGGCTAAGTACAACCAGCTCATGAGGTGAGGGTCCCCGGGGAAGGTGAGCCCATGGCCCGGAGGGTTGAAAGCCTGTGTGCCAGCCTTCCGTCTCCTGTGCCCAGGGCCTGGATGCCACTGTGTGCACAGAAGACATTTGGTTTTGTTTGAGGGATGACCGGATGAGCTGACGGACAGGTCCCTGAAGCCACATGGCAGCGCCAGGGTGCTCAACCTTGGGGCGGGGCAGAGAGCAGGTGGCTTGAGGGCTGCTGGCGCTGGGGTCCCTGAGAGAGAGAAACAGGTCTTCCTGCGTCCCTGCCCACTTCCTCCCTGCTCGTCTCAGAATTGAGGAAGAGCTGGGGGATGAAGCTCGCTTTGCCGGACACAACTTCCGCAACCCCAGCGTGCTGTGACCCCGCTGCTAGCCTGGAGCCGAGGAGCCTGCCCCATCCTCCTGGAGCCTCTTTCTTGCCGTCCTGACCTGTGCTAGTTCGCCCGAGACCCCTGAGCCCCAGGGAGCCCAGAGCTCCCCAACTGCCCTGCCGCGGCTGCTCCTTGGCCTCCCAGCCCCTGCCGTCTGCTCCCCCTCCTCCCAGGCCCTGCTCCCTGGGGCCACGCGCTCCACTTTTCCCTTCCCTTCCTCTCGTCCCTCAAAAACTAGGAATGGGAATGAGGATTTTGAGAGGGTCTGTGGAAAACTGGTCAGCACCTGTGGTGGGACAGCGGGGCGGTGTCGAGTTCCGCGAGGGCCCACGCGTCATTGTGCTTTGCTCTTGCGTGTGTTTCCACATTGCATATGAGCCACGAGCTGGCACTGTGCTGGGCCCGGCATGCTTGGCTGCGGGTTTGGAGTATTTATTCACGCATTTATTTATTCCTCTATCATCCTGTCAATCATTTCCTCATAATTCTGGGGCCTAAAACTGGCCTGACCTGAGGGCACGAGGTTTGTCTCACGTGGATGCAGAGCCCAAGATGACCCGGGTGGGAGGTCTTGTTAGATGGAAAGGGTCGTGGCCTGGGTTCCTTCGTGCGCACTCGTTGGAGCCCAGAGTGGGAGCCGTGTGCCGGGGACGCCTCCCCGAAACACCCCAGCCCTAGTTCCCCACCCTTCCTTCGGCTGCACCAGAGCAACGGCTCGCTCCCCCTGCCACATTCCAGCTGCCACCAAGTCTGCGGCGTTGACATGAGCACCACCATTAAAGTCTGAGTCACAGTGCACTGTTGAGTCTCGGGGGTCTTACTCTCATCCACACAAGGGGAAGAGGAAGGAGTGTCAGGACAGGGGAGCACACGAGAAGAGGAAGGCAAGCGAAGCCAGTGTGGCCACGACGCCGGCACTGTCTGCCCCGCCTGGCCGGGGGGCTCACGTGGTGCCTGCCTTCTCGGCAGCAAAGCTGGCCCCCAGGCCCAGGTGAATTTGAGGCTCTCAACCTGGGGCCCAGGAGTCCCTGAAAGCCTCAAAAGGTGTGTGTGTGTGCATTTGGGGAGAGAGGGGACTCAGGTATTTTCAGTGACGCAAACGGTCCTTGACGGAAGAAGGGATAAAGCTGGATAAAGCCCCCCCAGCAAGTCCTGGCTGCTTCTGGAGTGGAATGAAACTTCATGACCATCCCCCCCGCGAGGGGAAGGAATGGTACTGGAGCACAGAAGAGACTTGAGGACACCCCGTCCTCCAGCAAACTGAGGACCTGGCACTACTCACTGGAAGCCACTGTCCCTTCGCCCTTTCCCGTCTGCGAGGTCACACTGCCAGCAGGTGGGACATGCGGCGAGAGGCCCCGTGCTTCTCGTGGGCCCTCAGCACTGGATGCTCAACCTGGGGCCG